GCCGAGCCCGCCCGCGCCCCCGACCCCGGCCTCGGCCAGACCCGGCCCAACACCACCTCCAACGCGCCGCTGGCCGGGCCGCCAATGACTCCGAAAAGCGCGCGGTACGCCGTGCGCATGCGCCTTGAGCGAAGTGCGCCTGCGCGGCGTGACGCGCTGAGCCGCGCGTGCGTATTTACGTACGTACGTACGTACTCCCGTGGGGCTGCTGGGGTCGCGCTTGTTCCGTATTAGCTGTCCTACCACGGTTTGTTTAGTATTTATTTTTCCTTTCAGTCCTAGGGATTGAACCCAGGGCCTTCACACTGAGCTACGCCCGCATCCCCCTCTTTTTTATTTTGAGACAGTCTCGTTAAGTCGCTCAGGCTGGACTCCAGTTTATGATCCCCCCGCCTCAGCCTCTCCGAGTGCGGGATTACAGGCGCCAGGGGTCTCGGTGCTTTAACTTAAGTGACAGATTGTGTTCGTCCCATGGTGCACAGGGTTCATTTTTAAAAAGGAGACGGGGATCTGGAGACTGAGGGAGAGGGGAGGGAGGAAAGGAAAGTAAAAAGGATCGAGATGCGACATGTGCACGTCCCAGTTCCCCACCATGAATGTATTTTCCGTGTGTCGCAAACCAAAAAGTGCTCGGAAATAAAGACAAGGACGTGGTGAGAGTTGGTGGAGCCTGGAAGGGTTCACGTAGGACCCAACACCTGAACTCACCTGGTGCCACAGGCAGGGAAGGGCGGGAGCTCCGTTAATGGACTCAAGGTGCTCATCCCAGGCATCCCAGGCCGGCGTGCTCACGCATGGTGCCTGCCCGCCCTCACACCCCACAATCTACGGCAGGTTCTCCATCTCCTTTTCGACAAGAATAAACGTCCGTAACTCAGGAGGCTACTGAAAGGACCACCAGCAGAAGCGCCCAGCCGGGGCAACTTAGCAAGACCCTGTCACAAAATAAAAAGGGCTGGGGAGGTAGCTCAGTGTGAGGGCCCTGGTTCAGTCCCCAGTACTAGAAGGGAAAATAAAAGAGATGCATTACTTACTGTTTAAATTGTGAAAGTATCTGGCATGTGGCACACATTCAACACCAGCTGTGATACCATATGTGCTGTTACTCTAATACAATACTGTTATTCAGACCCTATATGCTGTATCAAAATTTGTTCAGCTAAAAAGTGGGACACATTATAATAATCTCCTAATGCTTCAGCGTAATATAGAAGAGTTTACTGCTTGAGCTTTGCAGATACTACTACCTTTTTTCTTCAGAACACAGGTGGTGTAGCTTATTCTTCTGTCTTCTGGGTAGAAGTTGCTGAACCTGCAAGGAAGAAGTTTTTACCCACACACAGCAGACCGTGCCAGTCCTCTTGAGGGCTTCTGGGAGATGGCTGCTCATTTCCATATTCATGAGTTTTACAAACATGGTCTCAGATAATGCCGTTGTACAGTTGAGTGAGCTCATTTGTTTTTGAGCATCGGGATAATAGGGTCCCAAGTAATATGCATCCTTTTCTGCTAGGAGATTTGCTTTTCGATAAGTTTAAAGAGATGTGTTTAGAGGTGAGCATAGGAGGTGAGTGGGTTGAAGCGGGAATGACAAGACAAGCAAACAAATTTAAATCCAATTTTTTTTTCCCTGTGGAATTCCCTCAGTGTGGCTGGAATCCCACTGATTTCCAAACCTTTCTGATCCCTAACTATGGCGAAGAAGAGTGAAGACTGGGGAGGGTAGGTAGCCCTCCCACAGGGAAATGAGACATGGCAAGCTGAAGCCAGTGGAAGGCACAATTCCAGTACAAGATTTTCATGGGCCACATAGAATGAATCGTAAGAGGCCTGGGGAGGTACCTATGGCATCTCCAGCGTAAACAAAGTTGGTGAGTGGAGATGGTGCCTTTCTGTATTAAAAGACAGAATAACAACAAATTTAAAATTCTTTTTAGCTTTTATTCATGAATCAGCACAGCCTCATGAATCACTGTGCAAGATTGAACAAGAGTGTGAACTGGTTAAAGGCAGAACAGTGGATTTTCTAAAATGAGAACAAGAAAACAGAACAAAAGAAAAACCTGATGTACCAGCACATGTTAGTTTCCTTGTAAGGATTAAACAGTACGACTTCCTACTCTTGCTGACTCCCATAGACTGAACTCTCTCTGATTGATTGCTGTGAACCTTGTACTTTTAAAATAAATTGATCTGCTTGGAGATCCACCTTCCTTAAAGTTTGTTTGGCTATGTTAAGTACTTAGCATGGATGACTCTGTTTTGGTTTGGGCTGTGGGGCCTAGCTCAGTTCAAAACACTGGCCTCTCACAATTCTTGCTTCATACCTGAAACGTGGCATAATAGAGCAGTATGGAACTGTTCTGGTCATTTTCTTCAATGACCAACCACAGTCAGTGCTTCTCGGTGTTTCCTGTTTGGTATTGTATGAATTAAACTGTTCCACACACACAGTTATGTTGAAGTCTTAACCCACAGATCTGTTTACCTGACCGTATTTTGAGACAGAGTCTTAGTCACGTCAAGATGAGTTCATACAGGATTATGGGAGGCTTGACCCCAGTATGACAGATGGCCTTAGGAAGAAGAGGTGGAGACCACATAGAAGATGCAGGACAGAGGCAGAGACTAGAGAGATGGGACTACATGGCCAAGGACTGCCCAGGCTGGAAGTAGAGCCATGCTGACACCTTGTGTTTGGGCTTCTGGTGTCCAGAACTGTGAAGGAACTTCTGTTGTCCTCAGACTGCAAGATTGTGGTCCTTGTTACAGCAGCCCCAGGAAACAGTACTGGGCCTTCTTCTTCTTCTCACTACTCACCAGCCACAGCAGAGGGGATAAATCTAGACAAAGTGCGTAGAACAGCCAGCCCAGAGCCTGGCCCAGCTAGCACTGCCCATGTACGGGGTGTTGTCTTTGTGCCAGGCCTGTTTGTCCCTCCCATCTGGGTGCCCCAAATAGAGTGCAGCACTGAAAAATGACCCACCTTCGTGGTTTTCCTACTTTTAGGCTTTTTCTCCTTGTTCTTTAATAATTTGGCCAAATTCTCTGCTTTTCAGAGAATACTGGAATCTCAGACCTAGGACAGAGTTTAAGAGTTTCCTGCATTGCAGCCCAGTTTTTGTTTATGGAAGAATGTCTTTCCCACTTCCCAGCTCTAGGTTTTGCATCCTTACTTGGTGACCTACAGTGGTGGAGAGCACACTGCACTATGGGAAGGCACATTCCATTTGCTGATAGCTTAAGTTTTTCTTCACATTAAAAAAAAACCTATGTCACTTGCTCTTTGGAGTGACAAGGTGGACCATTCAAACTTGAGGGAGGGTAAAATTTGCAGACAACTGTCAAGACTTCGCTCACCCTTCCTCACCTGACATCCTTCCATTCAGTCCCGGGCTTTTTCTCTTCAGAGCTGGGTACTGTGATCAACAGCCACCAAAGGCCACTAAGCCAGCCTCTGCTGCTTGCCCCACCCTGGTCAGTACACTGTTAGGACACCCGGCTGAATGCAGTGGTAAATAGGATGCTGTGTGTTGACCATGTACTAGTCTGAATAGTCCAGGCCGGTAAAAGCTTCCTCATGTTGGACCATTGGGGGATTGTCTGCCTGCTTGGGGTCAGATACCAAAACTTTACCCTGATAGACCTTTGGGGCTTTTCCTAAAGGGAACAAACATCAGTAGGGCAGCTTGTGGGTCTGCCTTAGTCACTTTCTTGGTGCTGAGTCATGATGCTCGACACCCAGCACTTACAGGAGGAGAGGTTTACCTTGTCTCCTGTTTGCAGTCCTTGGTGGGCTGGCGCCAAGGCAGAACGGCATGGTAGAGGCAGCGGAGGAGAACCTGCTTGTGTCATGGCGGTGGGGAAGCAGAGAGACCAAGGGAGGAGTTGGGGAGGGAAATACACCCTTCCAGGTCACAGCCCGTGACCACTCTTCCGGCCAGACCCTGCCTCCTCACTGCATGCTCAGCTCTGCTGAGCATGTCTCCTCCATGGTGTGATCACCTTCCAAATGTGCCACCTCTGAGCACTAGGCTTTGCGGGGCATCCGGATGTCAATCATCATACGGGTAACTCTGGGGAGCACACAGAATACTGCCCAGCATACTGTAATGGACAAGAGGGTGGGTTCTGGAGCCAGACTGGGTTGCAGTCCCAGCTCAGCCACCGACCTGGGACAGGTCACCAAAGCTCTCAAAACCTCGCTTTTCCCATCTGTAAAGCAGTAAGGGCACTAAGCTCTGGGAATTTCAAAGTATTGGTAGTTTAAATCAAGCACAGTAATGCCTGGCTTAGAGCAAGTGCTGTGAGTGTTCTTGTTATGGAAACTGGGAGGAAGCCCTTCTTCCTGTCTCTAGGGCTGGGTGGTTTGGGGTCTGAGTGATATGTTGGAGATGCACCTTGAGAATGATGGGATGACCTAGAAATGAGCCAGCAGTCATGCAAGATCTTATCTCCGCTGGGTCTGCATCTAACTGCATCTAAACTGGCCTTGGACTCAGCTCCCAAAGGATGAGCCCAGTGCAGAGAGGAGTGCTCCAGCCCTCAGCCGACCTCCTGCCTGCAGCAGCCCTAGTGCACCTGCTACCCACTCTCCTGCCTCCAACTCATCTCCGCCATCTTCCTAAACTACATTTGTGAACAGGCAGGACAGAGCCGCTCCAAAACAGCTGAGGGCTGGTATTGGCGACTTCAGTGGCGCATCTTGGAGCCTTCCAGCAGTCCTAGCACAAGGACACACCTGAGTGCAAAACAATCTCATTTTAAGATTTAATCAGCCTGGCCTCAGTCCAGTGATCTGAGTGCCCACTCCACTGGTCCTGCCACAGAGGCCCTGTGTGCACCAATGGACCATCCTAGGTACCCACACTGTGACAGAAGTCGGGTTTGATTCATGGATAACCAAATCAGGTGTGGGAACCATGCACACATAACGTTTCTGGATTTCTGAATAACACCCTATCGTCCCGTGACATGTACACAGATCAGAGGTCTTCGCTGAGTCTCCAGGGGAAGTAGGTAATCTTGGGACAAAAACATGTTTCTAAAAGGAAAATGGTTCCAAATAAATATAGGGGATACTTAAGCACCACCCCTTATTGAAGTTGATATTTACAGGAGCACCCTTCTGTTGTTTATTAGGCATGATGGATTTGCCACACAGGGAAACTAAGGCCCCAGAAGTCAGAACATCACACAAGAAGAACTTGATCTCATTGATTGGATCCAGGATGTGTCATGGTTATGAATTTGTTGAAGTTATCCCCATGCAACACTTCTGTACTATGAATAATGTATCTAGAACAGTGAGTGACCTATGGTAGGCTCCTGGTGAGCTTGTGTGGAATAAATGCCATTTAAAGATATCTAAGCATGGCATATCTGGCCATTTTGAAGTGTATGTCTGCATCTCAACAATCAGTGTGATACAGTGTAGAATAAGATGATCACCTGACACAATCAGCAGAACATTCCAGGTGTTTATTAAGCATTTAGCCATGTGACAGGACAGTTTGAAGACCACAGGTATAATTTCAAGTCACGATCACAGCCCTAGAAAGTACTTCACTGAGCCTTTTCTGCTATCACTGATGGCTTTGAGAGTGTGAATACCTCACTGTCTTTTTCACCAAGCGACATGATTTTTAATCAACAAATACCACAGCGAAATAATGAGTAAAAGGTATAGCCACTTGGATTAACTTTACATACAATAAATATTTCTTCACTGGTGAGACACAGGAAAAGATAGTCACAAGTCTGATTAACTCTGGAGACAGACGTGAGGCCACACACAGGCTGCGTTCCCTGGAGTTGGGACAATGTTTACATCCTTCTTGTTCCAGTTTTCAGATAAACTTTCACTCAACTCTTGGTCTCTACAGAGAGAGAAATAGCATGAACATGTGATTGCATTCCAAAAATAAAGTATGACAATTTTGAATACTTCCTATTTGAAAATAGAGAAGGAATATACTGTTTCTGCAGTATAATGGAGGCAACTGTCCGAGGTAAAATAGCTTGAACTGAAAGACAGGAGTTGCCGTTGCTGCTCTAATGACAAATTTTATCAATACCAACTAGAATCTCTGCTAATTTCCCCCCTTTTGGAAAATAGGAATAGTTTACACTTTTGTTCAAAATTATGACCATGTGGACCTGATATGATAACCTCAGATAAGCACAAGAATAAAACCAAGGTACTAAGACTTTTCATTGTTCAGGTAAGTCTGACCAGAATATACCTGAAGTATAATTTACTATGGTATCCCACCTACTTCTAAGAATATGAAGCCCAGTTTTTCTTTAGAATCTGCAGGAAGTATAAAGGCCCTGCAGGACTTGTGGCTTCTGTCAGAAATGTGCTTTTGTTTCTGACCATTTTCTGGAGCCACAGCTTTGTATATTATTCTCTGAGTATGGGACTAAGATCCTTATCTGATACAAGATCTTTATCTGATAAGATCCTTGCTGGACACATGGAATGTTCACTAGGAGTGTCTGCCCAAGGAGGTTTTGTTTTGTATGCATTTCTTATGCTTAGAGAAAATGAATATTTCAAAATATGAGCCCTTCCTTAACACCTTCCAGAGATGTTCAAGATATGACTGGGAGTTGTTTTGGAGAAGGAGGTCTCTCAGTGCAGAAGCAGAGGAAGGTTCTTATTGGATTTCTTGGCATACTTCCACTGGGAAGGCAGCTACCTTGGCCTCACTTTTCTGAAGCCACCAGAGCCACTCATATAATGAAATGCAACTTTGAACTTGATTCTTGAGCATTATATTTCAGGTATTCACAGTTATAATTAGCAGCAAGGAAGATAAAGTTGCCTGCAGTCAAGTTACACAATACATTAGATCCTGCATCCTCCGTAGGTTGTAATAAGACAGAAGATGAGGGTGAGAAACAAAGAGAAGCAGAAGTTGATGAGGAGGGTCACAGAGAGGTGTCCACTGCCCTCTTCCTCAAGCGGGACCAAAAAATGACAGAGAAAAGAGAACTCCAGTGCACTGCACACCTGTCTTCATCTATGAAAAGCCTGTGCAGTTGTTTCAGCTCCCACATGCGTAGCTTTAAAATCGTTCCTGTGGCTGACACGACATCTGAGTAACCCGTGTGCCAATCACAGGCTTATCCTGCTGGGGCCCCGTTCCTCGCTTGCAGGAGTCTAAATGTGCTCCTTTTGTAAACTATTGCATTTGGGCAGAAAACACCAGTCACAGGAAATTCCTGTCTCCTGCTTTCATTTATCTAAAGCCTGCCAGTTTAATCTAGAAGCCTGGTGTGACAGTAAGTTGCCTAAATAAATGCCATTTGGGGAGATGCGAGGGACAGATATTATGGAGACTGATATTCTCATATCAGACAATGAAAGGTCTAAACCTAAGTTTTCAAAGCATCACTAGCAGTAGCATTCGTTTTACTTCTGCTGAACATGCTATGGTTTTAATTCTTGGGATGGAATTCAGTCCCCAGCGCTAAGTGGCAGAGCTGGGGCAGGGCAAGGATGAGGACTCCTGGCAGGACAGGGTGTTCCTAGCCCGGGCCACACTCACCTGCACGGCTCGGCTCTCAGGCCCTGTCCAGGCTCAGCACCTCGTCTGCCAGCTCTCGGATATGCTGCCAGGCCCGCTGCACATGGGCAGATTCCACCTCGCGGGAGCAGATGGCGAAGCGCAGCACAAACTTGTCCCGGAGATGGCATGGGACCAGGTGGATTTTCCTGGCACTGTTTATTCTTTTCAGAAGCGTTTCATTCAGCTGGTTGGAACCCTGGAGGGAATAAAAGTGAGAAACTGTGCTCATCCCTCTGATGTCTTAAAATACCAACCCATCACAACGTGATCTCAGCCAAAGTCTAGCAAGACTGAGATACAGAAAGAAAAGGCCACGCTGTGCCTTTTGTTTGGGAGATGAAAAAGTCCAACAATAATAGTGACACAGCCCAAAAGGCCACCTCTTCTCTCTGCAAGACCATTTTTCCATGTTCTAATGTGCTGTCAAAAGATGATCCTCCCAAGGTCCAAGTTCATTTAGAAAAATGAAGATCCCTAGACTAGGTGACTTCTACAAATGGATATGCTCAAGCCATGTGATTTCAACTCCCTGAAAAAGAGAAGAAGATCTCAACAGAGCAGAGGAAGTACAAAAGTCAAGCTATTGCTAGAATCCAGGAAAGATGCCCATGAACCAAGGACAGGCCCTCTGGAAGAGAATAGCTCTCCAGCCTAGGGCAGAGGGGCCAGGTCCCACTATGCCCACTGAGTGCCCAGGAATGACAGGTCTGTACCAAGCAACACATGGGAAGCCATACTTCCCCACTAGGCCTGCCTTGAACAGGTAGCCAGGTCCTAGCTCCTCTCAGCCCGCCCCCTCTACACCTCTGCCTATCTATTCTCATGCAGCAGCTCCCCATCCACTAAACCATACAGTGCAGTCAAATGCAGGAAAGGGCTGGATGTACACGTAAGACCCTCTTTGAGACCCTTGCAGGACTGTGCTATTCCTCCTGGCCCAGTCTTCAGGGTCAAGGGCAGAAAGACTGGTGTTATGGTTTGTGTCTGGATGTCCCCCCAAAGCCTCATGCAGTCATGGGGCAGGCTGCTAGAGTTTATGATTGATCCATGGTCGATTGTTGGGGTTATGGGTGTGAGTGCTGCACCCGTCCTGGGGCAGGTACTTGCATACAATGTAAGGAAGGGAGGGCAGCTTGTTCTTTTCACTGACGCTTCTCCCTTTTTTGCTCTTGCTGCATTTGCTGTCTTCTACCACCATGAACAGTTGCCCTCTGCCATGTGCCACTCTGCCTTGGAGCCAGCTGCATATGGACTGAAACCTCCACAAACTGTGAGCTAAATAAACCTTTCCTTCCTTAATTTTGGGCCTCAGGTATTTTATCTCAACAATGAGAGAAAAGTAACTAAGACAGCTGGTGAGGAGGGAAGCATCCAGTCTGCAGGACAGAATCACACCAGCAAAACACCTGCTGGACACTGGAAGTGGCCTTGGCCTTGGGCAAATCCACCCAACCTCTAGCTGTGGGTCTCAGCCTGGCTCCCAGGGTGCCCAAGCACACCATGACAGGGTCACAGGCAATCTACAAACTGTCTGTGTGCATACCAGGTCTGGAGGAATTGGGTCTTGCTCAAGGAGAAGGTTAGAAAACAAAGCAAGGAGAGAGCTGAACTACGGCTGAATAGAGGTGGAGCTACACTGGAGTTACTTAAAGAAAATCAACTAAAAACACAGGTAGCTGAAAGAAAGGCAGGGATATACATCCTGATGCCAAAATCAATCTTGATTTTCAAAATAAGAAACTTGTAGATCAAACAAAACATAGACATAGGAACTTATAAAACAGTGAACCAGCGCGCATGGCTCCCTGTGTGCGGAGTAGGAGCTGACATTCTGGGAAGTTCCCAAAAATCTGATGGACTGCAGTAAAGGGCAAACTCAAACCACACAAGAAAGGTTTGAGATATAAGGCACCTCACCTCTTTACCTTCCTTGAAATAGAGAACACTGGAGCCTGGCACAAAATTTCACCAGCACACACAGGGGAAGAGTGATCAAGAAGCTCCTCCCTGCCCCATGGGCCACCACTTTTTCTGTTCTTTTTTTTTGGTCATGTACCATAGTTGGTAACTGGAACCTCTAGGAACAACATGGTTAGGGACCAAAGCAGTGGTGAAGGTAGTAAGTACAGCAGCATGATCCCTCCTTCCTATGACCAGCAGCATGAGAGAGGGATGGGGACACAGGATTTAAGCAGCTTTGGGCCGCAGTGGGAAGTCAGCACTCCCTCAGCTAGAGATGAAGGAGAAGTAGGAGCCCTGGGCTAACTCCACAGCAGCAGCAGGGGCAGCAAGTTGACCTACAGCACTCCCCCGCCATGTGAGCAGCAGCATGAGAGGAGAGAGATGTGCCAGCAGGAGTGGAAGAGAGGAAGCTACACAAGTGCTGGGAGGGGCCAGTGGTCGCTGGTACTGGGAGAGCCTCATGCTGTCTGCCTCAGGGTGACACAGCCACAGGGAGAAAGATGCAGATACAAATAGAGGAAAGAACTGGACGGCCACTGAGGGACACAGAGAAAGCTGCTGACCGATGACTCTGGCGCCAGCCCTCACATCCACATCTGGAGGCAAAGATCAGCCACTTAACCAGTACTAATCCTACTGGAGACTTTGTGGGGTTACCCAGCACAGATCTGGACTCTAACTTGGACACTACCACAGAACCGTGGATGCCAGAGGAATTTTATTGATTTTTGATTTGCTTTGCTTTGCTTTTCTCCTTTTTTTCTTTGTTTCATTTTCCTTTTTCTGCCCGGCTTTTTTGGGCGGGGGGTTGTTTAGGTTTTTACTTTTATTGTTTTGCGGTTTGCCTTCTTTGTCTTATTTCCCCAACTATTTTTCTTGATGTTTCAATATTTCCATGTGAGTGAACATTGTCTCCAGCCTTTCTGGTTCCCTTTAATATTTTTTCACTTTCTCTTCCATTTTTTCTCTCTCCAATTTCCCAAAGCTTGAGTGATTATCCTTTGTCCTTCAACTTTGCTTCTACTATATTTCTCTTCATTTACCTCCCTGTTCTGTCCCCTACATCTCTTAAATCCCCACCATTACCACATGGTAAAATCATCTTACTAGGGGGAAACTCACTGCATACAAATTCCTGGTTAATGTTGGATTTTGTTATATAATTGTAGACCTTGCTCTTGTGGTTAAAGCTACCAAAATTAATAGTTACCACAGTTTGTCAGTTTCTAGGTTCTGCTCGATGCTGTTGTTGTTGCTAATTAGACCACTTCCACCAAGATGTCATACCTGTTATAATCAGTTCTTCTGCCTTATATGACAATCCCGGGGTGATAACCATCACCAGAGTCCAGTACCAAAAAATTGGGTACTAAGCAAAACAGATGGCAACTTCTCATCCCTAATAAATTGGGAAGGTGGGATTGTGGAACAGACACAAAGACCAGGAGCCAGTTATACCCAGAAGACATCTCTGAGTAATACACATTTCCTAGGGATGCCTCAATACTAGTGATAATGCTACCTGCCATAAGAAATTTACAAGCATCAACAGAGAAAATAAATTAAAATTAAACAATAGAAAATGACAAGATGCAGAGGCAAAATGCAATCCCAGGCCTCCAGCCAACTCTGGAAAAGTCCAAGGGACAACAAACTAGAGGAAATCAGAAGCCACATACTTAGCCTTTCTGAAATGGTACCAGCAAAAGTAAAAAAGCAGATGAATGAGGTTACAGATAAAATCAGATCAGATATAATCTCTCAAATAAAAGAAAAGATGATGCTCAAAAAGGAGGCCTTGCTCAGTGAATCTAGAGACACAAATTTTAAAAATAGGAGACACAAATTTAAAAAATAGGAGAATTTAGGAAAAGAATGGAAAAGAACACACATGGAATCCATGAAACAAATTCAAATGGATATCCAGGAGATTAAAAATTCCACTGAAAGTATATGCAGTTGAACCAAGGTGAGAAAAGAGTATCAGATCTACAAGACAGCATTATGGTCAGCAATCACAAAAAGAAAGATTTCTTAAAAATAGCAAGGCACCATTGAAAATCAAGCCAACAGCTGCAAGATGATGTAAAAAAGAAAAACGGCCAGGAATATAGGTCAGCAGCACAGTGCCTGCCTGGCAAGCACAAGGTCCTGAGTTTGACTCCCTGTACAAAAAAAAAAAAGCAAAAAAAACATAAGGTGGATCAGAGTCAATGATAAGGCAGGAGATAAAACAGATACCATAAAAAACCTGTTCACAGAACTAATGACAGAAAACTTCCCAAGCATGGAAAAGAACTCTAATTATCCATGACCAAAATTAATCTATACCAAGGCATATAACAAACAAAATTCCAGAAATTTAGCACAAGCACAGAATGTCTAAAGCTGTTAGAGAACAGAAACAAATCAACCATAAAAGAAAGCCCATCATAATCACAATGGACTTCTCAACACAAACCCTTAAGGAGAGCTTGGAGTCTCTATTTATAGTCCTGAAAGAAAACAGTCTCCAACCCAGATTGATATACCTTGCAAAACCATCTTTCAAAAATCAATGGAGAAATAAAATGCTTCCATAACAAAAAACAAATGAAGAAATTCATGAACACCAAACCAGCTCTCCAAAAATGTTCTGAAGAGTATTTTAGAAAGCAATGATAGAGACCACAATTCCCAGAACACCAATAGAAAAAAGCCAGCAGACAAGGCAAGCAGTTAAACAGAAGGGAAAGACAGGGAACAACAGGAAACAGGAAATACTGTGACAAGGATAAACCAATAGACATCAGCTGCAACTATCAATGTAAATGGTCTCAATTTGCTAGTCAAAAGAAACAGGCTGGCAGAATGGGTCAAGAAATGAGATCCAATAATATGCTGCATACAAGAAAAACATTTTTCTCAAAAAGAAATTCATAGACTGAAAGTCAGAGGATGGAAAACAATATTCCATGTGACAGAAACCTGGAAAAAACAGGGGTATCTATTCTTTTTGCAGACAGTGTAAACTTCAAGCCAAGACTGATCAAAAGAGACAAAGAAATTCATTACATACTGGTTAAGAGAATACTCCAAGAGGAAGAAATAACAATCATAAATATATACACATTAAATATCAGGACACCCAATCATATAAAAACAAATATTAACAGACAGGAAAAATCAAATAAGCACTAACCCAACTGTAATGAGGGACCTTCATTCCCCACTGATCAACTAAGCAAAAAACAG